GTGATTATTGAAAGGCAGGGTTTTATTGCTTTCATTTTGTTGAATGCTTTTTGGTGTTGTTGCTATGCTAGTTACTTTGGTCCATGCTGCTGTCTGTGATAACTCTGCAAGAAGGAGATCTCTCTGTTTCCTGCAATGCTGGTCTTGTTTTTACAAACTCTCTTAGGTTCTGTTTTTCTGGGAATATCTTGATCTCCCCTTCATATTTGATGGATAATTTTGCTGGGTACAGTATTCTTGGTTGACAGTTGTGTTCTTTAAGTGTTTGATATATGTCTTTCCACTCTCTTCTTGCACGCCTGGTTTCTGCTGAGAAATTGGCACTCAATATTATCTGTTCTCCTTTGTAGGTTACTCTTTGTTTCTCTCTTGCTGCTTTCAGGATTCTCTCCTTATCTTTGGTTCTGGCAAACTTAACTATGATATGCCTTGGTGTTTTTCTTTTGAGGTCTATTCTATATGGTGTTTGCTCAGCTTCTTGAATATATATTCTCTCATTCTTCATTATGCCTGGGAAGTTTTCCTCTAGTAATTCTTGCACAACTTTTTCAGTGTCTTTACTTGTTTCTGCCTGTTTTGGGATTCCAATGATGTGCATATTGTTTCTCTTGATGGTGTCCCACGTTATTCTTAGATTTTCTTCTTTTTCCTTTCTTTTTGATTTTGCTTTTTGCTCTAGCAGATCAGTAGTGACAATTCTATCTTCTATTTCACTGGTTCTCTGTTCTATCTCTTCAATTCTATTTATGTGTCCCTCCATCATGTTGACAGCATCTGGAACATTGGACCTCGTATTTTGGATTGTGGCTTCTTGTTTTCCAGTGCCTCTAGTGCCTCGTTTGTTTTATCTGCATTGTTCTGGATTGGTTTTTTTAGCTCCTCCTGGTTTTTGCTTGTAGTTTCCTGTAGTTCTTCGAGTTTGTTTTTTATCCATTGAACATATTCAATCATTATTCTTTTAAATTCTGTGTCAGAAAGTTCCATCAGACTTTCTGGCTTTAGGATATCCATTGCTACTGTGTCACCCTTTGGTGGTAACATTTTGTTTTGCATTTGTGTAGGGTGTAGGGTAGCTTGTTTTCTTCAAGACATTGATATATTCTTGATCTGAAGACAATTTCTCTGAATTTCTAACTCAAGTAAAAGGTCAGTTCAGAGCCTGTGAGAGCAGCCTTTTGTAGCTAAGTCAGATCCAGGTGCTCTGGATTAAAGGCAGGTTGATTGACTGGTCGTGTAAGCACAGGTGTGGAGCCAAATGGGATGGGGCAGGCAGGAGGGTGAAATAATCACCAGGATGGGTCAACCACTTGAGGGACCTCACTCAGACCTTAGCTGCCCAGGTGTGCTCACAACTGAGGTCCCTGATCAAATTCCAGCTGTCTGTCTCCCACTCAGCAGTTCTCACTCAGTGGCCCCTACCCAGCTGCACTACCCAGTGCCCTCGCCCAGGCAAGGTCTTGGGTCTAGCAGGACCAGTGAAGACTCAGTCACTTTTCTGTAAAGCAGTATGGGTTTAAGGTCCTGTGGTTCCTAAAACTATTTGTATCGATAAAACTTCTTATTATAATTCCTATTGTCCATGTTACACAACAGACCCATTGGGTTTTAGTAGGGCTTAAGAGAATTCAGCCAATTTCTCCACTAAGCTTTCCCCTTTCAAATGGGTCAGCTTTTGCTGATCCAGAGTGTGCACTGAAATGTGGACCGGAGTGCAATCCAGGCTGTGTGTTCATATCGTTCTGAGTCTAATCCAACAAAAGTTCTTATTCAAATTCCTACTGTCCACGTCACAGTGCTTTAGAGAATTTAGCTAATTTCACCACCAAGGTACCCCTTTCAGATGGGTCCCTCAGAAGCTCAGCTAGCAGTTTCTGGCTTTTGCTGATCAAAATGTGGCCCAGAATGCAACTGAGGCTATGTACTCATTCCGAGTTTAATCCAACAAAAGTTCTGATTCAAATTCCTACTGTCCACATCACATAACAGACCCACTGGGTCTTAGTGGGGCTTAAGAGAATTAAGCCAATTTCCCCACTAAGCTTTCCCTTTCAAATGTGTCCCATATAAGCTCATCTAGTGGCTTCCAGGTTTTGCCTAGTCTGTGCAGCTGCAGCTGTGTTCTTACAGTTCCAATACTAAAAGTTTCAACAAAAGTTATGATTCAATTTCTGTTTTCCACTTCATGCAACAGACCAACCAGGTTTTAGTGGGGCTTAAGAGAATTCAGGCAATTTCCCCACTAACCCTTTTCCTTTCAGGTGAGTCCCAAAGCAGCTCAGCTAGCGGGTTCCAACTTTTGCCGGGTCCACAATGGGACCGCAGTGTGGCAGGGTGTTAAGTTTTTATAGCTTCTAAAATAATGTGTTAACAAAAGTTCTGATTAAAATTCCTACTGTTCATGTCATGCTGTGATGGTCGGTCTCTATGCAGCATGAAGTACTCTCTGGCTCTTCACACTATGCTCTCCACTGCTGCCATCTTCCACTGCAATTGAAATAATTTTTTAAAAAAATATCAATTCTTAAGACTAATAGAAAACCAGAGAAATAAATGATTCACAGTTACCACCACCAACTCACCAGGGATAAAATAGGAGGTCTCAGAATGGAAAAAAAAGTAAAACAAAATGAAAATTCTGAAAAGGTCCAGACTTACTGGATATAGACTAGAGAAACCTTCAAGATGATGGATTTAAGATATTTTTTGTATTTGAAACGGATTTATTTCTGAAAGTCACATAATAGGTTGTCTTATAACATCCATAATTAATATGCTCCCTTAAACAATCAAGTATATAAGACCAAATTGTCAAGAAAAGCAAAGATGAGGCGAGCTCTGGTGGACTAGTGGCAAGAAACTGCATTGCAATCCCAGAGGTGAGCGATTCAAATCCACCAGATGCTCTACTGGAGAAGGAGGGACAGACAATCTTCTCCTATAACAGTCTGATCTGATCTGATGGTACACACATATAAAAAAAAAGAAATAAAAAAGAAAAGCAAAGATAAGAGGACAAAGAGGGGGCAAGAAACTAGACCAATATAAGCACAACAGAATGGAAAGAATGAAAATGATGACACATGGAGAATGTTGTAATCAATGTCACAGAATATTTCTTTAATTGAGATTTTAATGAAAGTTTATTGAGAACTTGGATTTCCATTCATTCATTGTTGTACATTTTCCTCTCTGCCCGCCCCCCATTCACTTTTCTGTTTGAAAAAAAATTCTTTTATTGTTGTACAATTCTCCACCCACATCCCAGTCCACTTTACTATGAAGCTCTTATTCTGTACTGTTGTCATGCAAATAATACCTAATTATATATTCTTTTAAGCAGTTTTTTCCCTTATCTGTTTCAGTGTAGTGCACATTATTTATCCCCTTTTTTCTTCATTTCCTCCTAACCCCGATGTCAGTCCTGTTTTATAACAGTAGCATTATGCTGTATTTGTCATTTTGTGATAGAAACAGTTTACTCAGCATATTGTCCTTCAGGGTCACCCATTTGTATAATATTTTATGAGTTCCTTGTTTTTTCAATGCTGCATAGTATTCCATTGTGTGAATATATCACAGCTTCTCTATCCATTCATTTGTTGATGGGCATTTGGGTTGTTTGCATCTCTTTGCTATTGTGAACAATGCAGCAATAAGCATGAGTGTGCATTTATCTGCTTGGTGGCAGTTCTGTTTTGTTTTGTTTTTAGGGATATTTCCAGTAGTGGAATTGCTGGGTCAAATGGTATTTCTATTTCCAATTTTTTGAGAAAGTGCCATACTGCCTTCCATAGTAGTTGCACCATTTTACACTCCCACCAACAGTGAATAAGGGTTTCAGTTTCTCCACAACCTCACCAGTATTTGTTGTTTGCTGCTCTGTTGAATTTTGCCATTGTTATTGGGGTGAGATGATGTCTCATAGTTGTTTTGCATGGAATGCTTTTTTTATGAAAGGACAATATGGCTATTGCAATTATCAAAAAAGGAACAGGATATATGTTGAAAAGTAAAAGGAAGGAGAGAAGGGGAAATTGGGAAAATTACTGGGGCAGGAGAGATTAGTGCATGGATGGGGGTTGAAGGAACAGACAAAGTATAATGAGGATTTGGTGAGATGGGGGTTTTAAAAGGCATAGATCAGTAATAATTAACTCCATAAAACATAATGTATTTGAATGATTGTAGAAAACACAATGTAGCTGAAACACAAAGTATGTGAGTGATTGTATGAAAACCAATGATTATATAAAACACAAAGTGTATGGAGTTGTTGAAACACAATGTATATAAATTATGCACAATGTATACAAATTTTCTATGAAAATGAATATAAAATAAAAATAATGTGGGAAACAATTGCTAAATGGGATTCTAATCTAACTAGAGAGCCCTAAGGGTCTAGTGGTAAGAAACTGTGCTGCAATCCCAAAGGGACATGGTTCGAAGCCACTAGCTGCTCTGTGGGAGAAGGATGGACAGTTTCCTCCTGTGCATTTAATTGCCTCTGAAAGAAAACCTGCTAGCAGGTTAGCTAGGAGTTGGCTCTGATTCTATGGCATAAATTACAACAATTAACTCTGCAAACTTTCACCTAAACAACAAGAAAATATAAAAAGAACAAGGAACAATATGTTCTGTCATTGAACCAAAAATTGTTTTGCTAGTTTTTTTCTTAATTCTGACACATTGTCATCAATTGAGTACACTAGAGTAAACTTTTATGATGTTAGATGCTGCTTTTCCCCCTTTAATTATCCAAACACTTGACTAAAAGATGAAAATATAATCATACCACTTTAAGAGAGGGCAAGACAGGAGAATCAACGAGACACAAATATTAATAAGAATGCTGAAACAAGTTTGTGACCTAGTCAGGAACTTTTGGCGTATTTTCTGCTGGGTTATCTCCAGGGTTTGGTTAGAGGACATTCCAGAGGTGAAGACAGGTAGACCAGTGCACCCAGATACATACCCTGGCTCTTTTTCTTTCTCAACAGGTGGCTTGGCCTCGGTGATTTACACAGACACCCTCCAGACCATCATTATGCTTATTGGCTCCTTTATTCTCATGGGGTTTGGTAAGTTAATTAAGACTCATGATGACCAGAGTGTGAGCCATGGTCTGGACTGGGAAGGGACATTATACTTGAAAAGGTGGAGGGTCAGCAAAAGAGAGGAAGATCCTCAACAAAATGGATTGACACAATGGTGACGGCAATAATGGGCTCAATTATGTCAGAGATGATAAGGATGGGTTCAGATGGGGTTGCTATTAGTTGTAATTGACTGGTATCTAACAACAACAACAACAACATACACATATCTGGTCAACACTGAAAAATTCCAGGAAATAGCATATGATAAAGAGCCAATGGTGATAAGGGAAGAAGTCCAAGCTGCATTGAAGGCATTGGCAAAAAAAAGTAAGAGCCCAAGAACTAAGGGATACTATGTCTCAACTAACAGATGCAACTGTGGACATGATCACGAGACTGTGCCAGGAAATGTGAAAGGTAGTGACCTGGCAACTGACCAGAAAAGATCTGCATTTGTTTCTGTTCTCAAGAAAGTTGATCCAATAGAAGGTGAAATCTAAGGAACAATATCATTAACAGCAAGCAAAATATTGCTGAAGATCATCCCAAAATGGCTAGAACAGCACCTGGATTTTGTCATTAGTAGTTTTGGATGACATCTTCAATTTTTTCTTTCACTATGGATCTCTGCATGGTTCAAAGTTGGGAAGGGCGTACGCCAGGGATGCATCCTATCTCCATACCTTTTCAACCTATATGCAGAACAGATTATCCGGGAGGCTGGGC